GATGGCGCTCTCCTCCACCTCCTCCTCCTCCTCCCTCCTCTTCCTCCTCCTTCTCCTCCTCCTCTTCCTCGTCCTCATCGTCATCGTCATCCTCCTCCTCCACCTCGTCCTCCTCCTCCTCCTCCTCTTCCTCGTCCTCCCTCTCCCCCCTCTCGTCTTTTCATCATGGTCCTCCCATTGTCGTCCTCCCCCTCATCGGCCTCCATCATCGTCCTCCCATTGTCGTCCATCATCATCATCATCATCATCATCATCATCATCCTCCCCCTCCTCCCCCTCCTCGTCCTCCTCCCCCTCCTCCCCCTCCTCCCCCTCGTCCTCCTGCTCCTCCTCCTTTTCTTTCTCCACGTTCTCCTTACATCCTCTCTTCTTCCTCGTTCTCCTCGTCCCCTGTTTACTCATCCTGCCTCCCCCTCCTTTCCCAAGATAACTGCAACGCAATCCTTTTTTCCACTTTATGCCCCCCGCCTTCTCTGATCAAGGCAACTCGCCAGGGCAAAGTTGCTGGACGGGCTGGCGTGGATGTGCGGGGCGTGAAGAGGTCCTTGCGGGCTCAGACGGCATGCAAGAATCCGCCGCCGCGCTTGTGCGGCATTGGTTTGTTCAGTGAACGTGGTTTAGGTCGCGGGTGGGTCGCGGGCTCTCCACCTCCACCTGGAAGGAATGCAAAAGCAGCCCGCCGCAAGCGCCAAAAAAATTGGTTCGTACACGGAACGAGGTTTGGGTCGCGGGTGGGCCGCGGGTTCTCCACAGGGAACGAATGCAAAGGATGCCCGCCGCAGGCGCCGAAAATGTGGTTTGTACCCTGAACGTGGTCGCGGGTGGGCCGCGGGCTCTCCACCTGAAACGAATGCAAAATATGCCCGCCGCAGGCGCCGAAAAATGTGGTTTGTACCCTGAACGTGGTTTGGGTCGCGGGTTGGTCGCGAGTTGGTCACGGGATGTGTCGCGGGCTCTCCACTTGGAAGGAATGCAAAAAAGCCCGCCGCAGGCGCCGAAAATTGTGGTTTGTACCTTGAAAGTGGTTTGGGTCGAAGGTGGGTCGCGGGTGGGTCGCGGGGTAGGTCGCGGGTGGGTCGCGGGTGGGTCGCGGGTGGGTCGCGGGTGGGTCGCGGGTGGGTCGCGGGGTGGGCCGCGGGGGGGTTGCGGGGTGGGTCGCGGGTTGGGTCGCGGGGTGGGTCGCGGGGTGGGTCGCGGGGTGGGTCGCGGGGTGGGTCGCGGGTGGGTCGCGGGTGGGTCGCGGGTGGATCGCGGGGTGGGTCGCGGGGTGGGTCGTGGGTGGGTCGCGGGGCGGGTTGCGGGTGGGACGACGACAACAAACAACAAGAACAACATCAACAACAAACAACAACAACAACAACAACAACAACAACAACAACAACAACAACAACAACAAGAATCCGCACCGCGGAATTCCACATCAGCCACGCACCCAGGGACAGTGAATGACCGTTCGGCCCCCTCACTCTGACAACTACATGTACGGTTAAACCTTACACGCACTAGATTAACATACCCGTATGTATGTATGTGTGTATGTATGTATGCAAACATGTGTGTATGCATATATTCATGGACGTATATGTGTATATCTATATGTATATATATACACATGCAAATCTGTATGTATATATATATATATATATATATTATAGTATATATGCAGCCGTGTCCCGAGTCCTGGGTGAATGAATACAAAGGGGTCCGAAAACCAAAGTGCCGGATTTCCCTCGGGACGCGTCGCGTGCCCAGGAAGTGCTCTCGCATTACTTTGACAACAAAAAAAAAACAGAAAGGGTCGAAGTCGAGCCAGGAGGCCCCCAAGAGACATCCCGAACGGTCCAAGCCTTCCCAAGGTCGGCGAAAGATCGCTCCAAGACGCTCAAGATGGCTTCCAGACGGCCCAAGAGGCTCCCAAGACGCCCCAACAAGGCTGCAAGAGGCCCCCCAGCAGGGCCCCGAGAGGCCCAAATCAAGTATTTTCAATGGGTTTGTGATTGCTTCTAACATCCTCGCCGTTTCGGGCTTTCGATGCTGCAAGAGGCTCCCAGGATCGTCCCAAGACGGCCCTAGAGGCCCCCGAGAAAGCCCCCAGACGGCACAAGAAGGCCCTAGAGGCCCCCCAAACTGCCCAAGAAGATCCCAAGAGAGGCCCAAGAGAGGCTGGCGCGCATCAGACTGTTGCGAGTCGTTTTCCCCGGCGGCCAAAATACACGTTTGCAGCCGACCGCCGTTGGAAAACATCTGATCCTTTTCCGTTCACCTTACTGCCCGTCCTCTTCGCTTCAGCGGGAATTGCAGGCGGGCGCAGCCGGACCCACGACGCCTGCGACCAAGAGAATAGTCCTGGTGGGCCGACTTTAAGTTTGTTTTGTGTTGTAGAACGCGTAACCGAAACATGTTGCTTTTTGTCCTGCTTTTGCGAGGCCAGCACACATCACCAAGGTGACGAACTCTTGTACGAGGCGCGACCCCAGTACCTGTGCTTCTTCCACACGAGGCTGTACAAGAACTCCCCATCGAAGTAGACGCCGTAGAGACGAGACTTGTCGCCACAGTCGTACAGCCATGGCACGATGTCGTCCTCCTCTACGAGGACACCACCTACACAACACCTGCACAACACCGATCCTGGTCAGGCCCGTCCTGGAGCCAAGAACGCTACATGCGCCCTTGAGGCTGCCTGGAGGGCACAGCAACTCATCCCAGGCCCAGGACGGGCCTGACCAGGTCGGCGTAGGTGTATACTTAGCTGACATCACCCGTCTAAGACGTCGTCTCAGAACTGGAATGCGGACCCCTCCCAGAATCTGTCCTGGCCCGCTTTCCAATTCGCGCTCAGCTGTGGCGACGGCATATCCCCCCCAAGACACACGAGAGGAGGACACACCAGACCTCTGGACCTATGGCGTGCGCCATGGGGCTCTCGGCCCCCTTCCTCAGCAGGTTGTTTTCTGTTCACCCCAGGCTCTCTGAATATCCTTGTGTTTCGAGCCCATCCCCTCTGAAGTGCTCGGTGCCGTCGGCAATGTAGCTGAATCCGAGCTTCGAAGAGGGCTGCAGGCTCCACCGTGCCTTGCCATCGCTCGGACGTCCATTCCCCCTGCATGTTTCGGCGTCGTGCGTGTTTTTGGTTTTTGGCCAGATGATCTAGGATGTTCCTCGATGGTCCTTGCCCAGAACAATGCGCACGCTCGAGCGATGCCAAGGTACTACAAGCCCGCCTCATCAGCAGGTTGTTCATCCCGGGCCGTGGTTTGACGGTCCAGGCCAGAAACGTGCCTCCAGAGGCCCACCCCGCGCGCGCGCCTCTGCATCCCGATCAGCCTGGGGCGCCTCCGCCCGGCCGATCCAACAAACGAGCGCAAGGCGTTCATCATGCGCAGGCGGGCGGCCTGGGCGACGGCACTTGTTTCGCGGGGATCCCTGCGCTCAATCCGCGGGCGGAGAACCGTATGAACTTGTCCGCGATCGGGCGCGCGTGTCCCAGGGCGGCTGGAAGTTCGTGCTCCCTCCTGCCACCGCCAGCCGCCCTGTGACAGGCGCCCCCGACGCCGGACACATGTGTCTTAGATCTTACATTAAGCCGGGCATGTCCCTCTACATGAGGAATACTACAAAAATACTAAAACAACAGTCTGGGGACGATGTTTCGACTATGTTTGAAATATTTTCGAATATTTTGTGTTTTTCAATTTTCGTCCAAGATCCGCCTGCAGGAGGACATGCCCGACCTAAGTCTTATACCGCTCTTCGCCCGCCAACTCAGGGCTCCGAGGCCTGCTTGCAGCCTGCGAGGCTCAGGTCCAGGGCCCCTGCGCTAAAGGCTTCGGGGAGCTCGAGCGCTCCAGGCGCTCGATCGGGGGGGATGTAGGAGTGAGTGGGCAAGTGCGGTAGAGGACCAGTCTGGGTCAGGAGGAACTCGCTCTAAGCGGCTCTCCCGGAAGAGGGACACATCAGCCTCAAGCTGCATTCGCTCCATGGCCCCACCTTGGCTCGGGACCCCTTCCCAAAGTACCCTCGACTCGGGGCTCCGGAGCTCCCTCACATCTGATGTTGCAAACATTTGCAACATCGCGCACAATTCATTCATGACCGGAGCCCTAGACCCGATTTTTCTACGCCATTTTCCGAGCCAGATCGATCCGTGGGGCCCGAAATCAAGCGAAAACGCCCGCTGTGAAGAAGTTGCGACGCCAGGATCTCAGGGCTCCTCGCCAACGAAGCTCTCCACGCGGTTGCCGTAAAGCGACGCGCGGTGGTCCAGCACGGGCGGCCGGGTGAACGAGCCGTCCGTCTTCACGCGCGACGCAACCCTGCAGCCCTGCGCGCCAGGGGAGCCGCCCCTGTGCCGGCTGGCGGCCCGAGGCAAGGGCGGGCGGACCACCCCCCCCCCGTGGGTGGGGACGACGACGACGACGACGACGACGACGACGACGACGACGAGGACGAGGACGAGGACGAGGACGAGGACGAGGACGACGACGACGACGACGACGACTACAACTTCGACGACCGCGACGACGAGGACGACTACAACGACGACGACCCCTTCGCTGGGTGGCGAAATCCCCGGCGGCGCCAGCGCGCATCGATCCCGGGCGCGCCCATTCTGGGCCCGGGAGACCTGTGGTGCGCCGTGGAGGCCAAGGCGGGGAGCTGTGTCCGCACCGCAGCAACCGCCGGGAGAACCCAGCGGGCGGTTGCTACGGGCGCAAGCGAGAAGAAGATGCTGGAGAGTTGGCGAGAGTGAGAGTTCCCTTGCTACGGGTGCAAGCGAGTTCGACGTAAATTTTGAAGTTGGCGGGCGCAAGCGAGCCGAAGCAGGTGCAGGCGCATGTCGAGAAACTGGCGGGGCGCGCAGAAAGCTACATTGAGGCATGGCGGAGCGCAGGAAGGGCAGGGGAGAGGAGAAGACAGAGCCGCCCAGGTCATGGACTTGGACATACAGCCAGGTCGCACAAGAAGGACGCGCGGTAAGGAGGCAGGGGCCTTGGAGGGCCATGCTGGCGTTTGCGGACGGGGCTGGCCAGCGGAAGTCGCCAAGGGTGGGCCGAGAGAGCAAGGAAGCAAGGGTCGCTTTGGAAAGCTGCCCCTCCTTGCTATGCGACTTCACCGCGCTTGGGCCCCAGGGGGCCGAATGTATCCAGATCGGCCGCCCGCCGAAACTCCCGAAGCTCGACCCCCCCCCCAGGCGGTGGTCGTGGGTTACAGATATAACGCCTCGGAGAGAGGGCGTGCGTGGTTCCGATCCCACGCCCAGGATGAGCCCTGGTGTCCAGGAAAGGGTGCGGGTGTCCAGTGCCATGGCAGCGTAAGCTTGGCGTCCCCCGGCCGTGGTCTGAGGTCTTCCTGCCCTCGGGGCGCCAGGGCTGAGGCCTAGAGGGGGGCACTCGGGCCTCCTCCTGGGCTGGGACAAGGCTGGGAACGGACCTATCCTGGTCCCGGGCTCGTCCTGGGCTGGATGGGACCCGGGACCAGGGACTCCCAGCCCCGCCCGAAGGGGGCACTGGCGGGAGCCCGCGGCAAGCCCCAGGCCCACCCCCCCGGAGGGGGGGCCCAACAGCACCGCCGTTGCCTCGCCCGAGGCTGGACCCTCGACTCGACGCCGACGTCCACGAGCGCGAGCGCCCTCGCCTCGCCGGCGGCTGCGCCGCGCCGCCCTCCCCCCCCGAGATCCGGGCGCTGCGGCCTGTCTTACGGCCCTCGTGCTGCCAGCATTGGAAGGAGAGAAGACGCCATAAACAGAAACTTTTGGCGCTCCGCGCGGATTTCTTGGATCTTCGCTGGACCCCGCTCCCTGGCGCGCGGAGCGGGCCAAGGGCGGCGCTGGAGGCGCCGCCGGGGGGGCCCCGGGGCGGATCCAAGAAATCCGCGCGGAGCGCCAACAGTTTCTGTTTACGGCGCTTCTTCTTCTTCTTCTTCTTCGACAGAAGGATCGCTGAACAAGGAGCGAAAGGGGCTTTTCCTGGCCACGTCCAGACTCGGCTTCGAACAGGCTCCCCAACCCAGATGTGAGGAACAGCCCCCCACACCAGAACTCCTCTCGAGCCTAAAGCGGTCCTTGTCTCAGCGCCTTGGGCCTTGGCTGTATCTTAGTCAAGATGTCGGCGAACTGGCGGCAAATAGCGGCAACTGGCTGGCGGCAAATGGCGGCACACGCCTCGCACCAACCGTCCACCAATTACCCCCTATTCGCCGCTAGCGGCCAAGAAACACCAAAATATAAAACCTTCGACGATGTTCAAGGTTTCCATACAACTTAGCCTGGCGAAGGACACAACCATATGCAGTTGACGCAGTTGTGAATCTCGTCTTGAGTGGAGCTCCCTATGGGGCCATAAAACGTCAGAGGTGTGCCGAATGGGTGCGGCGGGCGCATGCGAACGCAACTACTGGAGCCTCCGGTGGCGCTCCCTATGGGGCCACGACGCGTGTGAGGGGTGTGTATGCGACCACCGCCTCTGAGGCCTTCGGTGGAACTCCCTATGCTGCCGCGAAACATACGAGGGATGTATCGACATGGGCGGGGCGGGCGCATGCGAACACCGCCACTGGAGCCTTCGGTGGCGCTCGCTATGGGGCCACAAAACGTGAGGGGTGTGCCGAAAATGGGTGGGGCGGACGCTTGCGACCACCGCCACTGGAGCTTTCGGTGGAGCTCCCTGTCGGGACACGAAGAGTGTGAGGGCTGTGCCGAAATGGGTGCGGCGGGCGCATGCGACCACCGACACTGGGGCCTTCGGTGGAGCTCTCTATGGGACCACGAAGCGTGTGAGAGGTGCCGAAATGGGTGCGGCGGGCGCAGGCGACCGCAGCCACTGCGGCCTTCGGTGGAGCTCCCTGTGGGACCACAAAACGTGTGAGGGGCGTGCCGACATGGGTGCGGCGGGCGCATGCGAACGCAGCCACTGGGGCCTTCGGTGGAGCTCCTTATGGGGCCAGGAAGGGTGTGAGGAGTGCGCCGAAATGGGCGCGGGGGGCGCATGCGAATGCAGCCACTGCGCCCTTCGGTGGAGGTCCAAATGGGGCCGGGCCGGGTGTGCCGAAATCGGTTCGGCGGGCGCATAAGAACTCAGCCACTGGGGCCTTCGCTGGAGTTCCCTATGGGACCACGAAACTTGTGAGGGGTGTGCCGAAATTGGTGCGGCTGGTGCATGCAATCGCAGCCACCAGGGCTTGCAACTGGGGCCTTCGGTGGAGCTCCCTGTGGGCTCAGGAAACGTGTGAGGGGCGTGCCGACATGGGTGCGGCGGGCGTGTGCGAACGCAGCCACTGGGGCCTTCGGTGGAGCTCCCTGTGGGGTCACGAAACGTGTGAGGGGTGTGCCAAAATCGGTGCGGCGGGCGCATGCGACCACCGCCAATGGGGCCTTCGGTGGAGCTCCCTGTGGGGCCAGGAAACATGTAAGGAGTGTCTCGAAATGGTTAAGTGGTGCGGAAGGCAGAGGCAGAGATTGGAGGAGGGAAGAGCTGGAGGAGGAGGAGGAGGAGGAAGCGGGACGGGGAAGGGGCGCGGGGCGATGTCTCTTCAAAACGAGGACCCCCAACACCACAGGATGGTCGGGAACAAAACTAACCTGCTCACGCCGGGCGCTCTCGCCGCGTCTCGGGCCCATGAGGGCCGCCGCAGATCGGTCCAGCTCGGTGACATCCCGCAGAATGACGGGATTGGCTCTGGGGCTCCGGCCGCGTTTCTCCGTCATGTCGCATCTTCTTCGCAACGTCGGATCTTAAGGCCGTGCCGTGCTCGCCGTCGTCGTCGTCGCCGTCCCCTTCCTGACTCGCGCCATCCTCGGCGCCCTCTGGCTACGTCGTCGTCACCATCCTCCCCGGATCCTCCGGCGACGACGGCCACGAGGGCGGCGGCAGTGGGGACAGCAACGACGACAACCACCACCACGACGACCAGCACCACCACAACCGCCACCACCTACTCATCGTGTTTTCAATTTTCGTCAGCGTCGTCCTCTTCCTCCTCACGTTGAACCCGCAGAGCGGAAATCACGGCGGCCCCTCAAAAGGACACGATCACGCACATCTCACAATCAGTGAATGTTCGGGGATGGTCGCTGACCATTGGCATGGTGGCCGTCGTCCTCCTAGCCGTCCTCCCCAATTTCTTCCTCCCCCTCGTCCTGGTCTTCGTCGTCGCCGTCCTCCAGCTCCCCCATCGGCCTCATCGTCTGCGTCCTCATTGTCGTCGTCGCCGCCCCCCTCCTCCTCCTCCTCCTCCTCCTCCTCCTCCTCGTCCTCCTCCTCCTCCTTCTCCTTCTCCTCCTCCTCCTCCTCCTCTGACAACGACGACGACAACCAAGACGACGACCACCACCACCACCACAGCCATCGCGACGCCACTGGTGAAACAGCACTACCCCAGTAAAGCATTCCAATAGCAGCAAAAGTGAAGAGGCGGGTCGAGGAGTAGGTGGTCGAGACACGGTCATTCTAAGAAGACGCAAAACAATACCAAAACATGCGTTTCGCCCATCCAGCGCCTCTCACCCTGCTGATGGCAACGAGTAGGGATACAAGAGGGACGGAGACGCGGGGAGAAGGATGTGGACGATCACACAACTGTTAAGACACAAATTTTTCAGAGCAGCCAGCAGCGCCAGCTGAAAATGTGCTTGGAAGACTGGTCCAGCGCGCGCAGCACACCTGTCTTTGCCACCCCCATATCAAGAACTGGACCCATACACGTTGCACTGGCAGGTCAGTAGCGGGCAGGTTGGGAGGGGCGAAGCGGCGACGGCCTGCATCCAAAAAAAAGATAACCTTGGGCTCCGCAAGGCATGGATGGCTTGCGTTCAGTGACTAGGTGGACGAGCGGACCTTCTGAAGGCGGCCTGGAGCTTGCCTGGGAGAGTCGGGCCTAAGCGGAGGCTTCTGGTCCGGAGTGGCTGGGAAAACCTGGAACGGACTCGTAATAGCGCGCCCGCCTTCTCATGCCGGCGCGCACTCTCGCGGGCCTTCAAGCACCCGCGGCGCTGGATCCCATCGGAAGTCCTCGAACTTCTCCAGGGCGCCATGACTCGCGCTTCCGCGCCGAAGGCGGCGAGGCGCGAAAGGAGCCGCGAGCTGCAGGCGCCGGCAAGCTATGTTGACGATGGTCTCGAGCTTCGCCAAGGTGAGGCCCCTGAAGAGCGGCCCCTGACCCGCGCGCTCCAGCAGCGCGTCCAGAGGCCGCCCGCGTAGCCCTGGCCCTTGGCAGCGCTGCCCGGGGAAAACGCGTCGTCGAACGCGTTCGTCTTGGGCGGGATCGGCTGCGTCGCCGGCGCCGCCGTCGCAGCCCAGAGCCCCGCTGGGCCCGCGCGCGCGGGCCGCGCAACGTCGGCGCCCCGAAGGCCCAGCGCCTTGGACGGCTGGAAGTAACCATCGGATGCGATCGGCAGCAGCGCCCCCGCCAACGTCGACTGGTAGTCGCGGCCCACGAGGTGGCCCGCGACCGGCGGCACCGCTTCCCAGAAGGCCGGGTCTCGACTGCCAGGGGGCTCGACACGGCCCTGGCCCTCGAGGGCCTGCTTCGCCTGCGGGAAGGCCCCTCCCATTGTCGCCCAGCCTCGTGGCCGGGCGAGGCCGCAGAGGCAGCGGCGTGCGTTCGCCTTGGCCTCGCCGCCCAGGTAGAAGCCTCAAAGTAGTGCCCCATCGCGGCGTCAGCCTCGTGCGGGTCCTTGAGGCCGCCGCCGAAGCGAGCGACGAAGTCGTCGAGGTCGCCCGCGCAGCTCTGGCACCTCTCCGCCGTTGCCCGACGCACTGTGGCCCGCCGCAAGAAGCCTGGCGCCTTCTCCGCTGGCTCGGCGCGCGACCGCCCGGCGCGGCCGCCCGCTCTAGCTCTAGCCCCGGCGCCGCCGGCAGCCGCTCCGCGACGGCCGATGCCGGAGCGGGCGGCGGGGGGCGCCGACGCCGGCGGCCCCGGCGCGCGGCCGCCAACTGCCGCTCCTGTCTACTCGGGCCCCTAGCAATAGCCGGTAGCTGCGTTGCCGTCGTGCTCTGAGCTCCTCCTCGAGAGAACCCAGGCGCCAGATCTTTCGAACCTCTGCGTTCGAGAGCTTCGCGATTCCCCTCCTCCTCCGCGCGAGCCTCCCCGCCCCTCGCTCGCCCCCTTGCAAATCCATCGACGATCGCCTGCAGAGAGCGAAGTTGCGTCTTAGACGCAAAGAAAACTTCTCCACTAAGAAACCACATAGGCGAAGAAATAGAGAGCCGGAGTCGCGGCTGTTTGTCTTGCTTTCAGCTCGGCCCCGCAGTCTCGGTTCAACCTGGAATCCCCCATGAACTGCGCCCCCAAATACCTCGCTTGTTGCGCCGCCTTGCCGGGAAGAGCCCGCCCCCCCATCCTCGATGGCGGAAGAGCCTCGACGCGAGCCTTCGCCCGTCATATGCAGTAGCGATTACCTCTTTGAAACATTCTCCGCGCGGCCGTCCTCGATGAGAGCGATCGAAGACAACTCCGAGGCTCTCTCCGATTTCTCAACCAACTCAGGCAGCGCATTTGGGGCCAGGGCAACGCGCGCCCTTGAAAGGTCGCCTGCGCACTGACAGCTCGCCAAATCAGCGGGCCCAGAGCAAATAGGCACGGCCGCCCCCAACCGCCCCGTGCCCGCCCCGCCCTCCGCCAGAGAACGCTTCCGGCCGATGTGCCCTCGCCCACGCGGCCGCCTTAAAGGCCCCCCCCCCGCTAACCCGGGCACTCTGGTCTCATAAGCAGTCCCCCTGGACAGTAGCATCACGCAAGTCAGCGCCAGCTGATCTCGGCCGATTCCGCGCAACGCTTCCGAAAGCGATGCTCGCATCGAAAACCTGTCGCGCCGCGGAGATCCATTGCTGCGCCGCGCGCCAGGCAGGATGTTAGCCGAGAGCGCTGGAGTTTCCTTAGACCTTCCCTTCTCGTACCTTCGAACATCATTTCATATTCTAGCTCGCCTCGTCAAACGCCCATGCCGCGCCTCCCCGCGCGTCGGTGACGCACGAACCCACCTCTTGCCTTTGGGGCCTCTCCCCATCAGACTTCTGGAGCCCAATCGTCCTGTTGCAGTGCCAATGGCGAGGGGCGCCCCCGCTCGCCCCAATCCTCTGGCACCATAGAACAACAGCGCGCGCGTAAACAAAGACAGCCGGTCTCGCAATCGACGGCGCCCCCGCCCCTGTCGCTCTCTGTTTCGGTTTCATTCCCGCCCCCGGCGAGAATGCAATGTTCCAAAGTTACCTTGGGGCAGACCAAGGCTGCGGACAGCGTCTCCTCTGGCGCCTACGCGGATGCCTTGAAACTCGATGGAGATCCTCTGCCGCCGCCCCCATTGCCCCTCGGATCCAGTTCTGGCTTCAGGTGGTTGAATACTGGGCTCAAATGCTGGTTTCACTTCCGTTGCAGGCATGCCTCCAGCAACTCCTTGTGCCGCCCAGAAAAAAAAAACATCTGCTCTCCGCGACCAGGATGGGCCGCGCGCGCTTCCAGCACGCGTCTCCTCTTAGGCCCTTGCCTGGTACGCGCCGCAGCCCTGGCAGATCTCATGACTTTGTGTTGGCCCCTGGATTTCCAGGCTTCAGTCAAGGCCTTCAAATGTTCGTCCCTTCGGAGTTCCCTCGCTTTCCATGGATTTATCTGGTGGCCTCCCTGATATGCGCCCTCACTTTGCCCCCCTCCTCCTCCTCCGTGCTGTCCTGGGCCCAATCCTCCTTATCTTCCGCTTTCGCAAGAGCCCCCCCCTCCAACTCGATCACCCCTGGGGCCGGCGGAGTCGGGCGCGACCCCCCCCCCCCCCTCCTCCACTGGAACCTTCCCCAGAAACGAAAACAATTTCCTCAGGCCCTGGCCGAGAAGCCAGATTCCCCCGCGCGCGGCCCCCCCCCCCCGCCATTGTGCGCTCAACTGCGTCCAACAAGTTTCTCTGTGCCCTCCCTCGAAGCGCGCAGCCTTCGGCGCATCGCGACTCCATCTTTTGGGCCCAGCCGCAGGCGGGGCATGGCATTCGACGCTTGACGTCTGCAGCTTCGGGGGGGCGCCCAACCTCGACCAGCGCTGGAGCGGGATCACGCCTTCGAGCGGTACATATCAACTGCAACTCGCGCCTACTATGCAGCAGATCACCTGCACGTATCACAGCATCTCCAAGACTAGCAGAAAGACATGCGAAGTCCACGTGCGAGGAAGTAACAGACACATGATACGTGTCCAGTCCAGAGCGCGTCGATGTAGCCTCCATGTAGTGATCACTGAGTAGGTTGCGAACAACTGCCCCCGCATACCGCTCCTCCGAAGCTCCCGCAGCAGGAACGGCACCGTCTTGCGATGTCAAAGCACTTCCCCTTCCAGCATGCATGCCCGTTTCATTATTCAGATCCGTCTTCAGTATTGGTACCGACCGCGAAGGACACGAAGAACACTCCAGTTGAAACCAGTGTCGTAACTGCTCCACCGTTCGTCTATAAGCCCCCTGCTTCGCCATTTCCATTGTTCGCGGCGGGAAATAACGCAGCAAGAACATGATGTCCTCCTGAACCGTCCGTACTCTCACAGCCAAACACCTTCCAGCATACGCCCAAAGTCCGGAACTCACAGTTCTGTTGTACTTATCCTTGAACCTCTTGTGCAGCAGGGGGAATTACGCCGCAGGCCTTGTTGGAGAAAGGCTGTCTCTCCCATCCTCTTTCTATTACGATGCGGTCCATCACCTGTCTCCACTGCACCACCAGCTCCTTCATGCGGGCCTGCGTTCCAATCAGACCCACCGCACCTACACTCTCAAACGCTGAATCAATATTTTGAAGTCGTGGACGACTTCTAGCTACCAAAAGATTGAATTGAACAAGTTACCACTTCGGCCCCTCTGAGTAGACTTGGCCTTTCCACGTGCGACAACACAAAATACAGCAGCGAGCAGGGAAGATATGCATCCATTGTGACCTCTCAAAAAGATGCGCTAGCCTGTGCTCGTCCGTCGGCGGATGTGCTGAATGTAATGTGTGTGTGTGTGCTCGTCCGTCGGCGCCTGCCGCCCGCACATCATGGGCCAAAACGGCGGCTAGGAGGAGGAGGAGGAGGAAGAAGAGGAAAAGGAGGAGGAGGAGGAGGAGGAAAAGGAGGGGGAGGAACGCCTGTGGTGCTCGTCGCCGTCCTCGCCGCCCGGGGCGTGCCCCTCGCCGGCCCGCGCGGCGCGCCGCGCGCCACGCGGCTCCTCCTCCTCCTCGGCCGGCCGGGGGGGCCCCACGAGGCAGGCCTCCGCGCGGCCTCCGTGCGTTCTCGTCAGCGCCTTCTTCGGCGTCGCCGTCGTTCGGCGGCGCGCCCGTGGAGGATCGCTTGGGCTCGAGGTTATCGAGCCTGGAGGTTTCTTGGGCGTCTCCGGTCCTCGGCGGTTTCCCAGCCTCGGGATACGTCGCTGCGGCTTCGCCTCGCCGAAGGCGTTCCGGGGGTGCCCAGATCGTCCCGAACGGACGTCGGAGAGCCGAATTACGGCCCCCCAACCACCACCAGGCGTCCGAGACGGGGCGGGCCGTCCCAGGAGGCTCGGAAATCCCACGGCCTTCTGAGAAGTTTTCTGAGCCTTCCCGGGTGGATCCGGGACGAAGAGCTGGCCCTCGAGTAGGGGTCGGGCGCTCTGGGGCCGGGGATTCTGAAATCATTTCAGCGGGTGTCTGGAGCCGTAGGATCGATGATCTGTCGCCTCCTGCAGCTCCCCAGCCTCGTCCTCGTCTTCCTCGCCCTTGTCGTCGTCATCGTCGCCGTCGTCGTGGTCGTCGTACTCGGCGTCGTCCTCGTCCTCATCCTCGTCCTCCTCCTCGCCCTCGCCGTCGTCGTGTTCGTCGTCGTCCACGGTGTCGTCGCCATCATCATCGCCGTCGTCGTCGTCGTCGAGCGACCGGGAGTCGCAGGGTGGTCACAGCCGCAGCCTCGCTGCGTTTCTTCTTCTTCGGCCGCTTCCAGTGTCCTCCCCGTGGTTCTCGGGGTCCGGTCGGTGGTTTTCGGACGCGCACCCATCAGAAAGAGAGAAGGCAACAACGATGAACCTCAAGCAACTCTCATGACTGAAAACTGCCCCTGTGGGATCGGAGACCGCCGCTTCGGACGCCACCTCCCCCGCAAAAATGGGGGCCACAACCCCTAGGACGGCGAGGGACCGCCCGCCCGACGAAGAAGGGGAGGCAGGAGAGAGGGAGACGGTGGTTTTCGCAGGTCTGCGGATGTTGTCGGGGGATCCGGGACGCTGTTGGAGGTCGTCGTCGCCGTCGCTGTCGCCGTCGTCGTGACCGTCGTCGTCGTCGTCGTCGTCGTCGTCGTCGTCGTCGTCGTCGTCGCCCTGGTGGCCCAGGCGAGGCCACTCGAGGCTCTCGCACCACCCTCCGGGGAGGCCCTCGTCGAGCCCCCCCCCGGGTGCAGCGACGAGGCCCTGGGCTCCGCAGACCGCCCAGGACTGGCGAACCCCCTCGAGGGTTGAGCGTGGAGGCCACGGTCCGTTCTTGGCCCTTCCCCCCAGCACGTCCAGGGCCCAGACTCAGAGAGCCCCGACGTCGCAACTTTCTTTGCAGCGTGGGTCTGTGGAAGCCTCGGGGAAACGGCGGCAAGATCGAGACAGCATCGCATCGGGACAGGTCTAGGGGGAGAAAAAACGCAAAACACGTAAACATTTTTCGCGCTGCGCGCGGATTTCTTGGATCTGCGCTGGACCCCCCTCCCTGGCGCGCGGAGCGCGCCAGGGGCGGCGCTGGAGGCGCCGCCGGGGGGCGCAGCGCAGATCCAAGAAATCCGCGCGGAACGCCAAACAAGTTTATGCTGATGGCGTTTTTTCTCTTCGAAGATCGGACATCTCTGAGATCCGGTGGCTCTGATGGATGCCTCGGGCGCCGCGGCCGTCTCGGAGCGTCCCAGAACGCCTCGAGAGCGTTTTCCGGAACGCTCGGGAACGATGCATCCCGATCTCAGGCCTGTCTGCCTCGACCCCTATGGCGGCGCACACAAGGGGCTAAGGGCTAAAGGGAGGAGAAATGCCTCTTTGGTGGAAAGGCCGCTTCTCAGAAGGCGCCGGCCCTAATTGCGTCTACAGACAGGGCCCGCGCCTTATAAGGATTGGGGGTGCTTCTAAAAAGCCTCCCCCCCCTCTCCCTACCCCCCTCTGCGCGTGGCTGAGGATCAAGATGTCCTAGAGGCCTCCTACATGGGGTCGGAGTAGATAAGGTCGGATGATCGCGCCGCCTCTCCGATGCATGGGCGATGCAACGGCGACGTCAGCGATAGGTCCTCCCCCCTCTGCGCATGGCCGACCCTTCCAGCGACCTGACGTCTCGAGCAACGGTCGGCTGCCCCGGGGCACGCCAGGGGCCGCGAGGCCAGCACGGCAACAGGCACGCTCCGTGGCGACAACTACCTTCTCCGAGGCGCGGTTGGGGCCCTTGCGGCTTGGGCACCGCTGGAGGGCCTTCAGTCGGCGGCGAGCGAGGGCGGGGCAGTGAGAAGGAGAAGGCCCTCTCAGAAGGCGGCGGGGCTTCTCAGAAGCCCTCGGGCCCTCTGAAAAGTCTCCTGCGCCTTCGGGGAAGGCTTCGAAGACTTCTCAGAAGGCTGGGGAACTTCCGAGCCTTCTGAGAAGGCCCGCCCCTTCTCACCTCCCCCCTCGCTCGCCGCCGATAGAGGGCCTTAAGGTGTAGACCCCAGCACCCCCTCAGAAATGTAGACCCCACCAAAAATCGCAGTGCTATGTGACCGAATTGCGCGCCTCTTTCTTCGCGGCTTCGCGCAAGTTCACCTTTGGGGGTGTCTGTGTATTTCCCTGCGGGCGGCCTCCGGGTTGGAGCCGGCCAAGGGGGTTGAGCTGGATGGGCCCTGAGAAAACCGATTTGAGCTGGATGGTCCTGAGCGAATCCGCTCAAAATCGGTCCCAGGCCCCTCCCGGGTCGAAACTGACCAGTTTTTCGAGCTGCGTCCAGCCGTGGCGGCGAGGGGAGGGTTAGGTCGGGCATGTCCTCCTACGTGCGGACTTTGGGCGAAAATGGACAAAGATTCAAACAATTTTCCATAATGGTGGAACGCTCGTCCCCAGACCACTTCTTGACTATTCTTGAATAGTCCTCCTGTAGGGAGACAGGCCCGACTTAATTTTAGGGCAACCTTCTGGGCTGAGAAGGTCGGCGGCTGGTCCTGCGCAGTGCCGCGGCCGCGGCCCGAGCGCCGCCCGCAGCCGGAGGAGGCCGCGGCGGCGGCCGAGGCGACCTTCTCCGCGATGGCCTCGCGGTCGAAGCACCCCTGCAGGCAGATGCCGTGCCTGGGGAGTGCGGTGACCAAGCGGACGAGGGGAGCTGAGGCCACAGCATGTGAATCCTCCCGGACCCCCTCGGGAAATGAACAAATCATGGGCGGAGTTTTTTTTTTTTTTTTTTTTTGTTTTTGTATCTTCGGCCCTTGGGGGGCCTTACAAGGCCTCGGGACCGTCAAAAAAAACTCAGGATGAAAAACCGGTGCCGGGGAATGGGTCGAAACCTCCTTGGTCACCGTTATGACAAAATCATGACGTCGGGGGTCTGGGCTCCACTTGCATCAACTTGTTGTTTTGTTCTCTGTGTTGAGTCGTGTGCCCATCGTTCCCTGCCTCGGCCTGGGTGGGCGTGCCCTGGAAGCGGCAGGCTACGGCACTCGGCATGAGCGCACGGCCGAGTCCCCGTCCCCTTCCAATGGCCCGCGCCTGGCGTACGAAGACACGTGTGAGATTTGTTTGCCCTGCCCTGCGCTGGCGCATCGCCGCGCGGTCGGATCAACATAAGTGTGCGTGTGTGTGTCTGTGTGTGTACGGTCGGACCTAAACCAGAAGAACAACTTTCAAGAGCATGGAACCCTCCGCCGGCCAAAACACCCCAAACCATAAAAAAAATCGAGGGCACCCTCCCCCTGTATGCACAACAGCATTCAAAAAAGAGGAAGAACATGATGGCACCCTCCCTGAACCGACCTCGATCTACTATCGAGGAGGCGGACGAAGAGGAGGAGGAGGAGGGGGAGGAGGAGGGGGAGGAGGAGGAGGAGAGGAGGAGGAGGAGGAGGAGGAGGAGGGAGGAGGAGGGAGGAGGGAGGGGTTCAAGGGTCGAATCCCTCCCCTGCGTTTTAAAAGGGCGGGGCGCGTCGCTGCGCTAGGTCTGACAACTCAGCGCAAAATCCTTTGCAGAGCTCCTCGGCTCTGCCCTGCATTTTGTTATCCGCGCATCGCGTCTTGCAGTGCACGCGAAACCACGTGCCGTTCCCCCCCACACCCACGCGTGACGAAGACGAGGAGGACGAGAAACCTCAAGGGCAGGCGGAGGAGGGAGGGCTTGGTTCCACGTCTCGAGGGCGCTATGCACTCCAGCTGCAACCAGCTGGGCGGCACCCTTGCCTCGAAACGTGAAGGCTCCCACAAACTGAGGCCTTTTGCAACATAGACTAACCACTTCTTGGAAAATTTGTGCTGATGGGAAATCTATTAGACCGGAAATGAGAATCGCGGACTCTTTTTCACTGCGCAATCATATTACCCAAGCGGGTTGCGGAACGAAACGCCAATGCGAGTCGGAACGACTGTGGCCAACATAGGCCTGCATACAATCATTCGGCCTCAGGGACACAGACATCACAGCCCCCAAGGAAGTCTTTGGCCACAGCGTGCGCATATTCGCTACCAGGGGAAATCTAATAACATATAAATCAAACAGATATGAAATTCGCCAGCGTGCGACCTAAAAATACGTGTAAGCAAGGCTGATATGGATATTCGCCAATGTGCGAAGTAAAAACATATGGAACATAGCTGATATGAAATGGCAGCAGCTGTCTGTACCGACAACTTCGTCGGCGTAACATCACATCCTATCGACTGCCGGTTGAGCTGTTCTCGCTTGTGCGGTCGCGGAACAAACCCACGCTTAGCCTTCTCGGCAACTCGCTTCTGCAGTTCACCCTGTTCATCAAATATACGGTATCGCCCTGTGCGCATCAATCTGCTTAAAACTGCAGTGTTGGGCAATCTCTGTGTGAAAGCATCTGGCGGCATACAGTGGTGTTGAACCCATCTGGCCCTGCAACCAGGAGCTCGCATGGACTGCCTGCAAACACGCAGCTCGAGCGCAACCCTGCGATCATTGCCTCCTGTCGTCTCCTTCGCAAGATTGTCAAACAGAGATTTGGCGTCAACAATACTCACAATATTCGGATCCACCGAAATCGCGCTGTCACTCTTAGGCGCTGCAACCGCTGAATCCCCACGTTCTGGAATCGAGGTCCTTCGCCTCGAAACTGCATCCAAGTCGCTCCGCGCCGCCCCCTGCCATGGAAACCGTGCCCGTTCGGCCCCGGCCAACACATCGCTGAAACTAATCAAACTCCCCGCCGCCACGGCGCTGCCCGCGACGCGCTTGGTCTTGTGACTCGCCCAGTTGATGATGCTGAACGGCGCCTCCTCATTATCATTGGGTGCTTGCGTGGTAATGCCCACTAGGAACCCGCCCTGCGGAGCTCCCGTCTCCTTATCCGCGTCGAAACTGCCGTCGCTGACACTGGCGACTCTGGCCTCATCCGGCGGGGCTGGTGCGATGCGTGGGCCAAGAGCTGCATCTGCCATGAGGCGTCGGACTGCGGAATTAGTGTCAGAAATATCCCCCATCACGGCACTGCAGAATGCGCTCTGTAAAATTGAAGCAGTTGAAGCCTCGCCCGGCCTATCCTGTCTGGCAACCCAACCAATGCCGCCGCTTGCTGCGTGAAGTTGACCTTTCCCTCCGTCTGGCGGCTCAGCCTTTGGGTCTGCAAGTCGCCCTCGCTTGAGCTCGATCGGGTAGGGCTTCTCGCTGGTATATCGCCCCATGTCGATGCGAAAAGAAAAAATCATCCTCTTGGGAAAAGCTCCTCCCTGAGAACGAATTTGGTTCATCTCGGTGTAGGTTGTGCCAATGACCAAACCTGATTATGCCCTTGAACTGACCCATCTTGTCAATGCGCTTTTCGCTGCCTCCAGACAATGCGTCGTCAACCTCTACAACCACAACGCCCTGCAAAATGTAGTTGTCGCTCGTTGTGCTCGTTGTCGTTGAAACGGCGGAACAAACGCGGATCGTATACGATCATGCGATAGTCGAGCCTACTAAGCCGGTCGACCATCGCACTGCGCCAGGCGGCCATGCCACTGACAAATCCTTAAACTACTCGATCCAATCGAATGAGGCTTCCCGGCGGCGCTCCAAGCGACTCCATATATCCGCCAGGTGGTGGCTCGGTGTAGAGTGGCTTGGTCCTCTTGCTTGGGCCCCCTTGCATGAATGCGGCAGTGACGTCGCCGACATTGGCCTCGAACCTCCTCGACGATATCGCCTGCGTGGCGACGTGAAGTGTATCCAATTGTGGCGTTGGACAACTCCACTCAATCTTCATGATACCGGGATCCTTGAAGCCATGTACCACCCACCTTGCCTTGGCTGCCACGCCCTCATCGGTCGGCTTTCACAGCAAAAATATCCTGCTGGCGATGATCCGCTCGCCTGTGTCCTTCCTGATATTATCGGCTTCGGCTGGCTTAGTGATAACGACGGCCTTGATGCCAACAATTGATTCCGGGTCCAAGGCTGTCGCCGTCCGCCGCGCCCCCCATCTCCACGTCGATCGTCTCGAGCGCGGGGCGCACTCCGATGCTCATTTGGTCCTCGGCGATAGACGGCATGAAACGGTCGACCACATGCGTCGCGTAGTCCTCGGCTAGCATGGCGACTGCGTTTGAGCACTGGAAGAAACGCGGCTGGCGATCGGCTTCGTTGGCGTTGAAACCGGTGTGCTTGATGATATTGGCCTTCTGGAGGTGCTGAACTAAGCCCCTGGGAATCGCGTTGCAGAACTGTGGCGTGCATTCCTGCGCGAGCCTGGTGCACTTGCCGCCAACGAGATGGTCGTGGTCGGAACTGCGGTGAACGCAACGTCTGCGCGCGGCCTTGACGACCTCAATGCTGCCTCTAAGGGCGTCGGTCGGCTTGCGGTTGATCTCGCCCCCGTCGGCGCGTAGGTTGAACTCGCGCATGTCGGCGTTGATCCAGCCGGCCCCATCGGCGTCGGCCAGGTCCTGGACGCACGGCGCGCCCCGCGATCGTGCGTTTGCCGGTTGCTCAAATAGAAATAATCCCCCTCGTTCGCGTTGTTCTCGAGCGAAGCCGCGCAGAACTCCAGGTGTTGAAGACCTTCGCGTTCTTCACTGCTACCGATGTCCTCGTCGAGCTTGTAATTTGACAGGTCCCTGGTGCGGCTCCACACCTTGGGCGGCGGTGAACAGCGGCTGCTCCTTCTCGATGATCTCTCGCGCCCTCCTGCAATCTACGCCCAGCGTGAAATCGGATCCGGGCGCCAGGTCCATGGCGGTTCCAGGCCGGAGTCCACGTCGGACAAAAAAGCGTTGCGCGACACGAGGTCGGGCATGTATCTCCGTGGTGTCAGCGCCCTTCCTGGATAGCTTCCCCAGGCTCCGTCGTCTCGTCGAAGTCCTTCGGGGATGACTGCCTGCTCGTCGTCATCAAACCAGACATTCTTGATGGCACCATTCCGCGCCTGGAAGATATCGACGCGGTCAGTCGCGTCGCCCTCGCGGTCCTCTGCCATGTAGTCGACCCGATGCGTGAACCTGCCCATGTACCCACTGCCGATCTGGTCGCCAAAGAGGTCGCCAATCGCGAAGCTGTTCATTCATGTTGACTGGCGCCACAACGATCGCGACGCCCGTCTCGTCGCTGTCGTCAAAGCGCCCGAAGTAGAGCGACCCTCCAATCACATGTCCTCGTCGCTTGACGAAATGGCGATCACTTTCACCTTCTCGAATTCTTCCGGCGCGATCTCCTTGTCTCCTCGCAAGACCGAGCCGTGCACAGGTACGCGTACTCGCGTGCTTCTCGTAGCGGTCGCACACCCTCTCCAAGGGTGCCCCATGGACTGGGCATGCTGGAACCTCCACCTTTACTGGGAACTCCATCTTCACCGCTGTCTCCGGACTCGACCTTGACCGTCTTGCCGCAGTGAGAGACTCTTTCCCATCGGGCCCCGCACTTCATGCACGCCTCGTAGTAGCCCTTGTGGTTGCCCTCCGGGAGCGAGAACTCCTCTGGGTGGTCGCACTCTTCCGGCGTGTATCTCGGTTTGATACCCTTGCGCTCGGTGTCGGGAAGACGCTTGCCCTTCGTGGAAGACGCGGGGAATCCCTTGTCGGTGGATGGCCCAGCTCCCTTCCGATGCACAGCGAAAGGTTCGACCTGCTCCTGGGCGCCAGCGATGCACGGGAGAGCCGAGCACAATGACTGGGAGAAAGCAACTTCGATGACCATGATGGATCTTCGCAGAATCCGATACCATGCCGCCATAGCCCGCTTCTTTCGGCCTCGGCCCCCCCCCCGCGATCTAACGCTGGACCCTCGCGCTGACCGAGAGCCTGGTCCGCGAGACTCGTCATCCAGCGCCGCGGTGAATATGGATGCCTCCGCCAAACTCGGAGGGCCGGGCTGCGAAAGTATGGAATCGCTGTCGGCCTCTGCCGAGAAACTAAGTTGAACGCAAATGGCCCTGAGTGGACGCAACCTTGAGCTCAGGGGGGCCTTCTTCGGAGTCTTCTTGCGCGCCTTCTTATGGGATTCTCTTGAGCGCGTTCTCTGCGCGCATGTTGTCTCCCCCCCTCGCCCCCGCTTGCAATCGTTGCGGTTGCCTGCTCTTCTGATGCCGATGGTGTGCTATGTGATGCTGTTGATGCTGTCGTACATGCTGTTGATGCGATTGGGATTTCCGTAGTCTCGCTCTGCGATGCTGTTGATGCTGTCGGCGATGCTGTAGCTGGTGGCGCTGATGTTGCTGAAGTCGGCGATGGCAGCGCTGTCGGCGGTGGCAATGGTGATGGCGACGCGTCCACAACGGCCAATGACGCTCTCTTCTTTGTCCGTCTCTGGTTCGCGCCATCCACCGGGCGAAAACTCGAAGACGCTGATGGCCGCGTGGCCACTCTGTCCGATGGTCCGCAGCTTTGTGCCGGCGCCGAATCTGCGGAAAAAAACCTGGTCGCCAGATCCGAGCAGCTTGAGATCCATCCCCAGTGCTCCGGCGAGACCGACTGGGGGCAGCGCAGGCGCCTCCAAGAACGCGGAATGATACAATCCCGTTCGCGGGAACCTCCGCGCGGACAATTACCTTAGCGTCGCCGCCCATGCCGCAAGGAGGAGGTCCGTCGTCCGGCACCGGTCGCGGCTGTAAGTTGGACTCCTTCAGCTTGTTAACGAGCCCCTTCAGCTGCTCCACGCCGATGATGCCCTCCCGAGCGCCCGTGCCCACGAGGACCTCCCACGCATTGATGGCGAGCCCGATGAACATGGCGATCGCTCCGACGAAGAACTACGCGGCACCTCCGGTCGCAGACGCAGCTGGCCTCGGCATCTTGATATCGACCGCGTGGTTGCTACCGCCCGCCGTATGCATAATGAAAAAGGCTCCAAGGGCAGGGCGCTGCTGATGTCGATTCCGTGGGCACTCACGCGCCCAGTTGTTTACCTGCTTGGACTTGGCGCACTTCGCCCTGAGCTTGAGCTGGTCGATCGAAATGCGCCTGCGCCGATTCTGATTGCTGTTGCCCTTGCCTTTGTGTTGTCCATGCCCGTGCTTGCCTTTGCTCTTGCCCTTTGACTTGTAGCAACCTCTGGCCTTTCGCGCCTCATTCAGCTGGTTCCGGACTTGCATGCACTCGACTGGGTGGCTCATCGCGGGACGCATGTCCAACGGCACCCGCGTTAAATCCCCTTCTTCAAACACCCCGTCGACCCACTCAGCGTCAATGTAGTATGCGCCACCGATCGCCTCCGATCCTGGGATCTGCAGCGTGCCCTCGCCGTCGTCGCATCCATCATCCTCGTGTCCGATCACCTCTATGGCGAACGCGCCTAGCTCGTCTGACTTGTCCGTCGTGGCCATGTCGATAGGTGGTGGCGGGGGCGCTGTGTTCTTGTCGTCGAGATCCCCAAATAACGAAAGCGAGGCCAATCCTGTCGTCGGTCGCGGTAGTCCAGCTCGTCGATCAGGGCGGTCCAGCCTGATGGGCGCCTTCGCGATCTGCTCGAAGTTGTAGCCACCGTCAGTCCAGCCGATCACCTTGTCGTAGGACCCCCCATCGACCCTCGTGAAACGCAACGTACTAGAACCTTTGAGCGTGTCCGGCAGCATGACTTTCAGACTTTCAGCCTCTCGAGTGTAGAGCCTGCACCTTTTCACAAACGTCGTAAACCTTTCCTGCTTAGGGTCGCGTACGCACGTGTAGAGAGCGTTCTCGGGTGCCTCGGGAATCACTTCTTCCTTCAGATACTGAATGCATTGTCCAGGGCCTGCAGGATCAGCTCGACCGTTCTCGCCCGTCATCGCTTCGTCGACAATCTCCTCACACGCGAGTCGGGCACGACCTCGCAAACTCCTACGAAACACACCACCAATCTCCTTCTCCTCTAATGTGGTGCTGGCCTGCCAGATCAGCAGGTCTCGTCTACAGCGTCGATGCAAATTTTCGTCTGTCGGTTCCGTGAACAGCGGCGGTGGGTCCCGATCCACTCGTGTTGAAACTCGCGTCGGCTCTCCATTTTCTTCATCCCCAGGCTCCCTTTGAATTCTTGGCGGCATGGCGGCAGCACTCTGAAATCTGAAACTGTAGCTGGTGCTCAGCTGTCTTCGGACATCGAAACTGTAGCGGGTGCGCAGCTACAGTGGGGAGAGCCACGGTTCCGCTCCCAACTGAGAAATCTATAACATCGGAAATAAGAATCGCGGACTCTTTTCCACTGCGCAATCATCTGGCCCAAGCCGGCTACGGAACGAAACGCCAATGCGAGTCGAAACGACCGTGGCCAACATAGGCCTGCATACAATCATTCGGCCTCAGGAGCACAAAAATCACAACTGATCTTCCTGGGGAGGAGGACGAGGAGGAGGAGGGAAGAAGTAGGAGGAGGAGGAGGAGGAGGAGGAGGAGGAAGAAGAGGTCCGAATTGTAATTATTCGAGTGTGCCGTTTGAAAACCCCCTGGTGCCGCTCCGCCCAGCTGAAGAGGTCGGCGGTAGACCACTGGGACCAGGGAGGCCTGGACCACGGCGGTGCCTCGCCGTCGCTCTCCTCCTCGGGAAAAAGCGCCAACCACGCACCCCTCCTCGGATCCTCCTCGGATCCTCCTACTCCTCCTCCTCCTCCTCCTCGTCTTCATCCTCGTCCTCCTCGTCCTCCTCCTCGTCCTCCTCCTCGTCCTCCTCCTCGTCCTCTTCCCTCCTCCTCATCGTCTTCCTCCTCGTCGTCCTCCTCCTCCTCCTCCTGCTCCTCCTCCTCCCCCGATCATGGCGAAGCCCATCCTGGGCCCGAGACCGGTGCATACAACCCTCCTCCAAATCAAACGCAAGTTTTGAATGCGGGTCTCGACGCGCGAAACGCGGCCCGCGGGGGCATATTTTTGCGTTTACACTCGCCAGTTTCGGTGCGCATAATTATCCGAAGTTTGGGGTCTCGGGGCGCCGCCGCGTCGCGGGAAATACTTGCGCTCGAGTTCGAGGAGGGATGTGCGCTCTCCTGTCCTAGCCTGAAGGGGACGCACGCCACACCCCCGCCGTGTTGACGTGGGCCCCTGGCCTCTGGCACCGCGCGAGCCGTCTACGGCGGAGCGACCTCTGTCCCCGGAGATCCCCGAGAGGCCCCCGGCCCCGCTTCTCGTGCGGATCCCGCGCCGTGGTGGCCCCGGGGGGTCCCGAGACCCAAGAGCCCAGAGCGGAGTCGATGTCTAGGGTCGACGACCGACGTGAGTCGGATCTGCGGAGATCGACAGTCAAGTCGGGAGACGTCAAATCGGCGGATATCGGCAGGCTGGTAAGTAAGGCCTCCACTGAAACAAATCGGAGTCCGACTCGGATTCCAGAGTCGAGGTTGCGGCGGAATCGGAACCGATCGACATCGAATCGAATCGGAGGAGTCGAAGTGAGCACTGCGAGAGTGGCCCTGGGGATGCTCAGCCCCAAACTCGGCGGCGAGCCCAGGGGGGTAGCGAGAAGGGGCGGGCCATCTCAGAAGGCTCGGAAGCCACCCGGCCTTCTGAGAACTGTCCAGAACCTCGCCATCGCTCGGACGTCCATTCCCTGTGCATCTTTCGGTTTCGTGCGTGTATTATTTTGCAAGGTGAACAGACATGCTCCTCGATGGTTCCTGCCGATGAGATGCGCACGTCAGGGCGATGCCAAGGAACCTTCCCCAGAGTCACGGACAACCTCTCAGAAGGCGCGAGGGCTTTTGAGAAGTCCCGGCGCCTTGTGAGAAGGCCTTCTCCTTCTCGCTTCGCCCCCCCCCGGCTCACCTCCGAGCCGTGGCCCCAGATCTCCGACGACATGAGTTCTTCCATCCCGCAGTTGCGGTGGGGATGGGGGTTCACTTCGTTCGGGAGGTCCCGAGCGGAGTGAAGTTATCCCCCCCCGGGTGTAGGGTTACTTAGAGCTCACATGTGGCCGCCTGTAGCTTTTCTTAGATTTCGGCCCCTGGGGTTGTGATCGGGCTGGGATTGTGATTGGGCCCCTGGGGGTGCCCGTCGCGTCTGCCCAGGCTTGGCCAGGGCTGAGGCCACCTCCCGACGCCCTGACGACGCGGCCCCTGAGGCCTTCGGGCACGGCGGGGCCTCGTGGGGCGGGGCCCCATCCCCCGTCCCGGTGGACCCACGAAACCATTAGCGGTCCAACGAGCAGTGCCCCTGGGCCATCGGCAGTGCGTCCGAGAAGGCCTCGCCGCCGACCAACGCCCGCGCGGGCGCCGCCGCCGCGCCGCGGCGGCGCGAGGCCCCCGGCGTGCACGCGGAGGTTGCCTTGGCCACGGTCGGCCTGGCACGGGCCCTGGTGCTGGCGCGCGGCCTGCACTCCCCCATCCTCCTCTTCGGGGGAGGACGAGGTCTCGCCATCGCTCGGGCGTCCATGCCCCGTGCGATGACTCCAGCTGCTCCTCGAGGGTCTGGTCGAGAAGAAACTGCGCACGTCCGAGCGATGCCAAGAGGTGGAGGTGAAGGACCACCCCCCCTCCCCGCCCTCCATCCTTTCCCCGCCCTTTCCCGCTCCCGATTCTCAGAGGCGGAGGAAGTGGAGGTGGAGGAGGGGCCGGTGGACGCTTGTGGGGTTTCCTATGGGCAGGGGGAGAGGCCTTTTTGTACCTTCCGCCTCGGTGACAAAGGCACCGCCCAGCGCGCGCTGGCCAGCGCCGCTGCTACAAACAACATCCCTCCCCTCCCTCCTTCCATATGACTCCTCCCTCATCGCGCCGCTCTTCTTCCAATCTGTCCCAATACAGCCGGCGACTCCTGGAACGGTGCTCCAGGAGTCGATGGGCTCTAGTTTGATCAACCTCCCAAGGCCGACCGGCCCAGGGGGGGGAGGGCGGCGTCTGTGTGACTCTCTCGCATCCAGTCCACAGTCCACAGGTGGAGGAGGAGGCGGACGAGGATGAGGATGAGGATGAGGAGGATGATGAGGAGGAATTGGAGCAGAACGACTCGAAACAACCGCAACTCAAACGGACCCATCCAGGGTCCAAACGCACCGCTTTTCCGAGCTGCGTCCGGCCGTGGCAGTGTACGAGGGGCCCCGCCCGAAGGGCAGCTGCCGTTGTCTCAGCTCGCCCTCCTCGGAGTGGAGGAGGAGGAGGGGGAGGGGGAGGACGAGGAGGAGGAGGAGGAGGAGGAGGAGGAGGAGGAGGAGGAAGAAAAGAAGCAAGCGTACCCTGAGGGCGAGTCCCGATCCAGCTCTAGGCGCGGAGCGCCAAGCGCGCTGGACCAGTGACTCGCGTGGCTGATTCGTACGTATGATAAGCCGAAACGGCCAGAGAGTCCTTCGATGTATGGTAAGTGTGGAAGGCAAGGACGGTGGCTTCGACAGCCTGGAGGCGCGTGATCTCACAGTCTTCTGTGCCGTACTCGGTCGGGGCACCGAGGTCGAGCCAAAGGAGGGGGTCCGAAGGAGGAGGAGGAGGAGGAGAGGAGGTGCCGGAGGAGGAGGAGGAGGAGGAGGAGGAGGAGGAGGAGGAGTCCTCGTCCTGTGGGCCAGGGTACACCTTGCAGGCGTCCACGAACAGCCGCCTGGGTGTGAAGCGACGCTTTGCGGGGTCGTACAGTCGCCAGCGCAGCGCCGACCGCGCCCACGGGTGTTTCCTGCCGCGGGGATCTTCTGCGAAACCCACGCACATGCCGTCGTCCTCCAGGCGCTCCGCGAACTTCCAGTCTCCGAACCTGATGGGCAACGTATGGGGGAACATGGCGATACGTCGCTGATAGATCGGCGATATGCCCCCGATAGCGAATCCGCACGGTCCTAGGCGGGGTAGGCCATCGGGCCCTCATCGGCAATCGCTGGACAATCGTGGGCCGATGCGTCCCCCACAAGGCCTACCCCCCTTACTGTTGCCCCTGAGAACCCCTGGCTCCAGAAGAGGTACACCGTCCGCCTCTTCTCCTCCTTCGAGAAGGCGGGGCGGCCGTTGAACGACTCCTCGGGGGGGTGAGAGGGACAGGGAGAGAAAGAGGAACGCGAGATGTGAGGAGGCTCGGCTGGTAGAAGGGCAACGGAGGGAGGTGGCAAAATAATGATCAGGATGAACCGTAAAAAGAGCAACAACATGAAGATGAGCAAAAGAGCGCGGGAAAATCCGCCGATCCGGTGTGTGAACTACTAGGAGCCTCAGCAAGAGCTTCAACTCTGAGCCTAAGCGAGAGCTCCATCTCTGCTTGAGGGGGGTCGCCGGGGTGGCTCTGCCGGGGAAGGGGGGGAGAGGGGGCGCGGTCCTCCATCTTGCGTTTTCTTACAGATTTGCGCATCTCCATGACCTTTCGGGGGGTACCAAGGACCCCCCCCCCCAGGACTCCCCTCGGAACCTTCCCCGGACCCCCCAGGGAAGGATGGGAGGGGGGGGTGGGGCGGTCCGCCATCTGGCGAGATTTTAATGATGTGCACATCCCCAAAATGTTTCGGGCGGCCCCAGGGACCACCCTCAGATCTAGCCGCTACCGCCCCCAAGACCCTTCCTTCGGAACCCTCCCGGGATCCCCCCGGGGACCGCTCCAGGCCCCTCCCCCGGAGGGCACGTCAGCTCCACAAAGCGTCCCCGACGACTCCAACAGCACCTTCCCTCCCAAACAGTTTCTTGACGACTCCAAGGTCACCGAATCCGAAGCCCCCCTGGATCGGCAGCGCTGGCCAGAGGCCATTACAATCTGAAGATGAAGGAGAGGGGAAATATGAATGGTGGCGATGATGATGATGATGATGATGATGATGATGATGATGATGATGATGATGATGATGTTGATGACGATGATGATGATGGTGATGATGATGCTGATGATTTTAATGGTTCAGGACACATTGTTCATGTTCAGGGCAAACCCAATCCCAGGATGCAGATGCTGAAGCAACGGGAGAAGAACCGGTATATCCACGTTCACATCACGAAGCCCGAACCACAAATCATCAGCATATGCCAGGATTTGCCGAGGGAGACGACAACAGAGCCAACGAATGCACGGGTCGAGAGCGAAAGCGAAGAGCAGCATGCTGGACGGGTCCCCTTGGCGGACACCCCGTAGCAGTCGTATCGCTCTATGACGCTTCCCTCCAAAGCAGACGGTCCCAAGACTATCAGAATATAGCGCCTCAAGAAAACCAACCACTCCAGGATGAACTTGCATCAGGACCAGCACCCGAAGAAGCCAGGAAATCGCAATGCTCGGAAACGCAGCAGCAAAGTCAGTCAAACACATGCAAGACAGGTCCCTCCCCACCATGCACTGCTGAACTCCCCAACCCTCAGCCTCAAGAGTCTGGTCTGTCATAGACCTCCCTCGAATACAGGCCTGAACCTTATGTACACACTCGCGCGCTTCCTTCTCCAGTTGGGAAGAGAACGCCACAGACATTAGCTTACAGTCAGTATTTGCCATAGCAAGAGGACGGTATGCATCAGGATACCGAGAGGGGCAATCAGTAAGGTCCGTCGGATTCTCACCCTTGGCTAAGAAGACAAGAATCATTTCCCGCATGGATGGAGACATGTCACAAGCACGATTGTCAAACAGGTGGCAATAGAGATCATACAGGATCGCAATCGGGAGAGGGGACTTTCAGCACGAGTAAACAATCCCATCTGGCCCTGGCATCGAGTCGTGTCGCCCCCTAACCAATTTCTCAAAGTCCCCACAGCGAAGACGCCACTGATCATCAGGAAGGGGACGGTCAGGGGAGATGTGAGCTTCGAGGTCAGGCCAGAGAGACGCGTCGCAATCACATTCACCAAAGACCGTTTCCCAGTGCCGAGCCAGCCCCCCCCCCCCCCCCCCCCCCCCCCCCGCCTCCTCAATGGTGCTGCGCGGGGCGCCGCCAGAGCCCAGGATAGTCCCAAGAGAGATCCGTTTCTGAAGAGGCCTCCAGAGCCCACGACGCCTTTGCAACCTGGAGCGCAGCCGAGCCTTTATCTCCGAATCTGTCTCTTTGTCAACATCGTGCTCTAACTCAGTCAACCGAAGGTTCTGGAGCAACTGGATGTGATCACAAAGCGCAGGAAGATTCCGACAGGTGAGAGGGTCGAGGGCGAAGAAGCGGGACAGGTGAGGGTAGCAAGAGATGGCAGAAGAGACGCGCTGTGTACGCCGTGCACGTAGACCCCTCAGCGCAGCCAATGAAACGTGAATCTTCTCATCTGCAGTCCGAGCGACTTGATTGGAGAGGAAGTCGCGCGCCCGCTTGCGCGCCTCAAACATGCGCCTCTTGACCAAGGCAATCTGATCATTAATATGCGCAGTCCGATCCAATTCACTCAGAAGGGCGTCAAGCTCAATGTGAAACCGAGGGTGTTTCCCAACCCAGGAAGGGATAGACGGATTCTCAGAAGGCTGACACTTCCGAAACGTGGCCAAGACAGGAACATGGCCAGAAACATTCTGCGTAGTCGTGGCTTTGCCAATAACCGAGCACGTGATGGGGAGATCAGATAGCACAGCAATGGGTGAGGCGAGATAAAGACGGCCAAGACGGCTCACATGGCAACTTTCCCCACTAACACCCCCACGACGGGTAGGTTCAGGCTGGTGGACCTCAGTCCAACGTGGGAAGAACGAATGGAACGTATCATGCCTATAACGATCGCCAGGCCTCCACCCCGATCCATCCCCACACTGACGGCCGCCCTCCTCAAGAGCAAAATTGAAGTCCCCACCAATCATAACCAATGCATCAGGAGTCCCCAGAGCATTCCGAATAAGCCTCAGAGACCCCCGAAACGCCCACATAGGCTCCCCCGAGGTGGGCAGGTGCACGTTACGGATCCAGAGAGCGCCCCGTCGACCGTTGCATTTAGAGACCAAGATACGGCCCTCATCAACATTGTAGTGCCGAGCGTCCGTGAAGAGAGCGCAGAGAGCAGGAGAGATCAGCGTGAGAACGCCACCAGCAATGTCCGAGGTACGTCCTGAGAATCCAATCGACCAACCTTGCAGATCCGACTGGAGTGCCGCTGCATCGCCAGCTGTGCCATGGGTCTCTTGCACACACATAACACTGGAACGCCGAGACAATCCCAGAAGCTGCCTGTACCGACGAGAGGCCCGAAGGGAGGAGTGGTGAATGGAAGCGAAGAGCCCCCTAGAGTTCCAAGTGAGCAGAGACAGAGAGCAGGAAGGGGGAGGGGAGAAGGGGGCGACGACTCAGCGGGCCGACCCCCGCCGGGCGAAGAAGAGCTCGAGTCGGAGTCGGAACTGCTCGAGCTACTGGCAACAAAACTGGAGGAAATCTTAAACTCAATCCCCCCTTCTCGGGCGCGGAGGGCACCCGCCAAAAAGTCCATGGAGGCCCCTGGGGGGATGAAAACATTTGGTCCCCAGGGCGGCCTATCCCATCATATTCATCTTCAAAAGGGACGCGTGGGCTCAGTGGCAAACGCAGCCTCGAATTTCGCACGGATCTCTGGGGCGTTCAGTCCAAGAGCGTTAAGACCTGCATCATCTGGGCGGAGGTGGAGCACATCCGAGTTCTGGGGACAGCAGGTGAGGCGGAAGAGAGGAACAGGATCTTCACGCGAGCGAAGGCCGAAGACGTCCCCGCCGGTTCCATTAGAATTGGCCTGCAACCCAACTTTTGCAAGCTCTTCCTGCACCGCACCCCGTACTTTCCCCATCTTGAAGAAGAGAAGCCGATGTTGAGGAGACAAGTTACGACGAACACGAAGGGGCCAAACATCCTGATTCCGTGGGTTAACCATGCTGTAACTCTCACTCAGCTTCCTGAAATTCATCTGGAAGTCCGAAGCCATGGCCGGGGTAGGGAAGTCCAGGGTAACATTCTTCTGGAGATCGTAAGCCCGAATCCGAATGAGACTGGCTGCCTGCACGGTCGCACCCTTAGAGCTGAAATCCTTCGCAACCCTCTCTAGAGTAGTGGCCATCAACCGATCCTGGAACCCAAGGATGAGAAGACGGTGGGCATCCTCAAGCGACGATCCTCCTCCTGCACTCCCTCCCGTAGTAGACCCGTCCCCCAACCGAGCTGTCGACTGCGCGGCGCTTGCCTCCTTGACTGTTGACAAGAAGGGCAAACGGGAGCTCACCTGAGCCATCTGTTCCATGGCGTTGAGACGGGTCTCTGACTTCTCTAGGCGGTCGGTGATCTCTTTCAGCATCTGACCTTGGACTCCAACAGTGGCGGCAAGACCCGAGACCTTATCATCAATATATTTCCCGATCTTCGCGAGCTGGGCATCGAGCATGGCTTGAATCGCGGCCATATCGACCGCCATCGCGGCCGAGACTAGAGAGGGGCAGAGGGGGTATGCACACGGTGGGAAGGTGGTGCGGAGAGCTGCTGGCAGCCTGTCTGCCGAGACCCTCGATCTGCTCCTTGGCTGCTCGCAAGCTGGACCCACGGAGCAATGGTTCCAACTTGAGCCAAAATGGCTACGGATGATGATGATGATGATGATGATGAAAGATGTTGATGGTAAGTATGACGACGACGGCGACGGCGATGGCGATGGTGATGATGCTGACGATGATGATAATGATGGTGCTGTGATGATACGATAATCACGACGAGGGCGATGACGATGGCGACTGCAGTGATGATGATGATGCTGCTGATGATGATGATGATGCTGCTGAGGTTGTTGCCGCTGCTGCTGCTGATGAGGATGATTCGTGTACGGATGCGAACCATGACGATGCCGATGGCGATGCCGATGATGGGGGTAAGGCTGATGATGCTAATGGGGGATGCCCATGCTGATGATCCCGCTCTCCAAGGGGGGTCGGAGCCGACACGCTCACGATGATGCCGAGGACGATGATGGTGATGATGATGATGATGATAATGATGATCCCCGCGTCTGGAGGGGACAGGAGCTCCTAGCTCGTGCTGGCCCTCGGGCCGAGGCGTTTCCCTGTGGACCTGCGGTGGCAACGCTCGATCACGCGCGCCTCGGCGCACACTCGCAGATTCGTCCGAAT